TCATTTCCTTGGTTCCCAGTCCCAGCTTTGGTTTGATAAACCTCATACGCAAATGCTACAGTTAGTTCAAGGTAGAATTTGAGGATCATTTCCTTAGCTGGGCCCTTCTTCTGTGAGAAAATTCCCCCAGCCGCCTCCTCCTCTGTACTATTGTTGTGACTGTTTGGGAGAGTTGGAAGAGCAGAGAGCAGCTTGCTTATTTTTTTGTCCTGGCCCTTATGCTATTGGTCTGTACGGGATGGACTCATATGGTTGTGACTTAAGATAATGCTCCAAAAATTAATGCTGCTGTAAACAAAACTACACTACTTGATTTGTGTGCATTTTTAAACAACAGACCTCTGAAAACAGATTTAGTATTATTAGCATAACTGGTTTTTCCTTGTAGAAGCCACAGATCACATGTGCTTCTTTCCTGTGAAATGTTTTATTTTTAGGTCTTAACATACGCAGGTTTTTGCCATGCCTTTTTAAAGAATTTCTGTCAATGCCTCAGCAAATGTTTCTGAAAATCTCATTCTGCAGTATTGTCTTTTATAGGGTAGATGTTGATTCCACTGTAATTTTCTACATCCTTTATGTTTCTAAGATTTTTTTTTCTGAAAACAATTTTTTTTTTTTCCACATGCGGATTTTCTTTATAATTAATACCAAAACTACTACTTAAACTGACAAAGATGGCTTTTAGGATAGCTTGGCGGGCAAGCTAAATTATTCCTATTTAATCTCTACCATAGGAAAGGGTTGTACAATTTATGTTGAATCGCTTGTTATTTTAATGCTGATTGCTCAGTGTCTTGTGTTGCTTATATAGTTTTCATCGTGTTTCCCAAGTGTTTCACTATAGCTTTTTGTTTGTTTTAAAGTAATGGCTTTTATTAAAATTTCACAGTTGTGTGCTTCACTGTTACTGAAGACAAAACATTACTGCACCTACGAGGTGATTTCATGAGAGAAGCATATCTTTCGGCATAAGTGTCCAAAACTGTGTATAATTTTCATGTTGTAGCTTAGTTTGTAATAGCACTGATTATGTTATTGGATCTGCAAGTGTTGTGTTTTTTATGATATTTTCTGTGCAGTTAGTCATAATGATAATAATAGTGAAGCATAGCACGGCATCATTTGTAGGTTTTTCTACTGATAAAATATTTCCGGGCATATCCTGCATGCCATGTTGCTTAGGGTAGGCTTTAAAAATGTCTTTAAATTTCAGACCGGTCATCTGTTAGTGAGCTTGGGGCTTGGTCTCCAGCAGCTGTGCAGGCTGGTGATCCCATGGCATCTCCCTTCCAGCCAGGCTCATTTCAGGAACTGAGGCACCTGCAACAGACCTTGAGAGGCGGGGGGATGCCAGCAGCTCCCCAGCTGTTTCCAGTGCTTTTGTCCTGAAAGTAGGGAAGGAGCAGGAGGATGAAATGAATGGAGCTGTTTATGAATCATTCTGTTGGCCTAATTTGAAAATAAACACAACTTGAACAACCTGAGTATGACCATCAGAGGGGTGGTGGGTGGGAGCAGAGCAGCTCACTGACCACTGTCAGGCCTGGAGCCGGATGCTGGGGGCCCCTACATAACGCCCAGGAGAAACAGGGCCCTGCCAGGGTGCAGGCAGGGCAGACCAGGTTAGGTCAGAGGAGTGCTTGGCCAACTGTCCTGTCGCAGTGGCCCAAGGCAGATGCTGAGGGAGAAGCAGAAGAGCAGAACAAGCATGTATTAGGCTTCCCCAGAGTCCTTTTCCAGGACTCCAAGACTTTCTGAGTCAGGTACGATTTCTGTGCATTTGGCAGCCCTTGATTATGTCCATTAACTTGTCCATTCCCAGCCTGAATCAGTACAGACCTCCAGCATCCATGCTTTCCTGTGGCAAGAGGTTCCACGTTTTAAACAGGGGCTGTGCCAGAAAAGGTCTCTTTTAATCAGTTTTGAGCTTACTGGCCTCTTCCGTTGCCTCCTAGTTCTTGCATTGTACAAGGCAGAGAAGGATCAATCTCTTTGTTTTCTCATGCCAGACACCATTTCCAGATCTTTGAGAATGTAACGTACGATCTTCCAGAACATAAAAACATTAACAGCAGTATCTTTCAAAAATCAGCAATTTTGTGAGACCCACATGAGAAGACCCTGTCATCGCTCCAAATACAACTGCAAACTCCCTCCGAGTTAAGTCATTATGTTTGATCTCTGTCTTTTGTACTGTATACTTACTTTAGTATTTTACATTGTATAATCTATTGCATCTTCCTTGGCACAAAACCCTTTTTGGCCATCAGATAAGGAGAACAACCTTAGTTTAACTGAGTCCCCCAGAAATAGCTGAGAGTAAAAGTAGAGCCCTGAACTACAGAGGTGGCTTTAGTAAACCCGTGGAAGCATAGACTTTTTGTGGAAAGAAAGTGTAGTGAATGCTGAGAAACTATGTATCTAACTTCAGCAAGCTAAACTAAATACATTTTAAGAGAGCATCTGTATAATTTTCTAAATTTGGAAAAGACATACAGACCTTATAGCAGTCTTTGAGCTTCCCCAGCTGTATATTCACTTCTAAGAGGAATTAGAGGATTATAATCAGTATCTCAAACAACAGCATCTCTTTTAGGTGCTTCTCAATAAAGGCTCACTTGCAGGCTGCTGTGCTAAGCATCCATATAGGTATAGGCCTGAAGAGAATTAAGGGGGTCCTAGAGGGCGAATCTGGGGGCAGCTGGTCATGCTGGTGCTGCAGTGGCTGAAGGAGTTGCTTGGTCTGTCTTCCTCTGCTATTTGCAGCTGCTTGGGTATTTTCACTCCCTTGCGTAAGCTCTGGACTCATTGTACCTCTTCACAAGGGACTTGAGTTACCTAATGTGGCAAAAACATGGGTTTGTTGAACCCTCCCAAGTGTGCTTTGACGAGTGCCAGTACTGACACCAAGAGTATTTTGATGAGTGTTAGTTCTGACACCGAGAGTATTTTGATGAGTGCTCGTGCTGACACAAGTTAGGTTCAACACTTGCTGCTGAGGATGCACTGAGACCTCCTGCTTTCAGCAGCAGCTAGCTGTGAACTCACTATGACTGAGGGGACCCCACCTCCATGGACAGTTGTCCCTTGGATGCTCCCATTCAGAAATTTATTAGCATCCCTCGTGTTGTTGCCTCTGTCGCTTGCAGTTAGATACAAAGTCTTTTTTTTTTTAACATCCACTTGCCATTGACTCATTGACAGTCCATATACATTTGAGGATCTGCCAGAATCTTCCGTAGCCTAATTAGCTACCTTTACATCTTGGTGTGTAAACCCTGGTGCATTCGGATCCCCTTACAACTCAATTTTTTGCTAGACTTCAGGAGCTTTCCATTCTCTGGTTATCCCAGGAGCCTCTTTGCACTTCTGGGTAATTGAACTTCTTAAACAGAGCTGTCCACTACCTGTTGGTGGTGTTTGAGAAGAGGTCTCCTTTGGACAGTGGTATTAATCTTACCTCAGTTTGACTGGAAATACATCTTTGATGTATTCTGGGATGACAGTTGTGTCTTTCAGGAAGACACCCTATTGATCTGGCAAATTATTTTGCCAGAAACAAGTGCGGTCCTGTCTCTCTTGCTTATGAACCAGGCCCTCCAAAACAACATAATAGAAATTCCCTCCAGCCCTTAAGTGCATAAATTTTCTATTTGTACAATTGAATTTGATCCTATTTCTAATATCCAGTCCTGAAGGTCATCCAGCTCTTTCCTGTGGGAGTTCTTTCAGTCTTCTTTATTCCCCGTGCTTTCCAACTAAGCGTTATCAGCATATTTCTTTAGAGCCCTCCTGGTTTTTTGTGCCTGGGTTATTAATGCAAATATCAAGCTGGCAGTTTGTTGGGCTGATATGGAGGGACCCGTGCTACCAACCTTGTCCTGCTCAGGGCTTGCTCTGGGCAGTCACCAATACCTACGTGAGCAAAAGAGCCCGTGGCCCTGCTGCCTGTTCAGCTGGGCGAAGCTCTGTAGAGCCAAGCGGCTGCTGCCCTGGCTGTGCTCCGCTGTCCTTGCCCTCCCACAGTAGGTCCGTTCGCCCCTAGCCTACCTGTTTTGTTCTTTGAAGGACGGACATTCAATTCTGCCTCTTATGCCGAGAAGATTTCCGTTGCCTCCTGTCCCGTCAGTCAGCGTGCCTGTGGTCATGTTTTCTTTACCGGTTCTTCAGCCTTTCCAGTTTCATCTCCTCTTAGGTGGGACAATATCAAATCTCTATACAGATTTCATCTCAGTAAAATTTTGCAGTCTTTGAAAATGTTTAATGAAAATTCTGATGTAGATGATTTGCTTTCCTACAAAATAACTTATGAGAGAGAGAATCTGACTGGTTTAGCATGAAGAGTCTTGATAAAAAACCATGTGCATTTAACTTACATATGCTTACCTCAGGTGTGATTGCTTTTTCTCTTCAGTGTTTGTTCCAAAGCCTCCTGTACTTTTGAGGCTGGGTTTGCTGTTGCCCTGAGCATTTTCCTCTGCCACTGCCAAAGCTGTTGGGCTGCCAGGTGGAGCTGGTCCCCAGCTCACCATGTTGGTATTACAAGGTCATTTCGTTATCATGCCCTTAGGAGTCTGCTGGAGGCTGCTGCCATTTCCCCTCAGATATGGCCTGCTGCGGGAGTGACTCCAGCTGGTTTTTCATCCTTCTGCTTTCTTCTTTTTTTAAAGTTCACCTAACTTCCTTACTGTTTGCTTTTAGCAGCAAATAGAGAAGTCTCTTGAATTAAAATCGTTATCAGTGGCTAGTTTTGAACTTTCTATGAAGAAAACCCACTTCAGTTTTCCTTGTCCCACCTTCTGGTGTTAAAAATCAATGTATCCTGTGCACTGTGTAACTCCATTGGAGGTGGTTGTTTCAGTGATTTTTCTGAACATTTTAGGAAAAGTATCCTGCAGGTTTTGCCCTTTTCAAATGTAAATGTTTAATCGGTGCTTGCTGAGAGGGAGTGCAAGAACACATGCACAAGGCTTACGGTTCTTTTTTTCTTCTTGCAGTGACCTGCTGTCTTCTGAATATCTGGAGAGGCATATCGAGCAAGGTGGGAAGACAGTGGAAGTTAAAGTAAGAATTTCCTTTTTACGCTTTGCTTTTTTAATTTGCTTTGCTTTTCATGTTAACGCAAACTCACCTCTTTTCTTGAGAGATACCTGATTTTTCAGGTGATTTGTGTTACTCTCCTGAGGCAAGCATGTTTCATGTCTTCTACCTTTTCAGATTTTTAAATAAGATAAATAAGCTTTATTGGCAAATTTAGTACATTAATGTTTATATGAAAATGGTATCCATGAAAAATGTATACATGGTAGTTCTTTTTACTAGTAAATATAACTTTTCATGCCTGTTGAAGAAAATCTTTCTGGTTTGGTAGCTAGCATTTCCTCATTGTACTAAACCCCAAGTTTGTTGTTTTTAATGAGCTTCTTTGTAAGTTTGAGAACAGTGAGATTTATTGTATAATATTTCCAAATATCTAGTCACCGTCTCAAACTGTGGGTTTCTTTCTCTGGATGTTTGTTGCCATGATGGCTACAAGATCCTGTTCATTGCAGTTATCTTCTGTGAAATGTCCTATTGTCTTTGCAGGAGTGTTGTCTTATTTGCATGCAACATGGGAGAATTTTCTTGAGGACCTGCTGTTTATTAGAACAGTATTTTGTAGACATCAGGTATAAAGTTGCTGTAGATTAGATAAGATGTGCATGAAGGTAATACGTGCTGTGCATAATGGAAACTCTTTAAATTTACCGATCAGGTCAAATTTTATTCACAGTTTACATTTTATTAAAAAAACCTCCAAAAGTCTTTTACTAAATCTGAGCTCATGTAAATACCCTGAAACAAATGTGTTAACCTCCACAGTGTGAAAGTAGAAGTGGAAATGGATGAAGCAGTCCTTTAGCCACTGAGTAGCTGAATCCTTTAGCCACTGAGTAGCTGAAGATATGTGTTTCCTTTGGTTTATCCCTTTATAGCATTTGCAAACTTGAAATCTGCTTTCTTTTTACTCTCTGATAGTCGTCTGCATACATTATCAGACTGAGGCAAACACATATGTGTTCTATTAAATTGTAAAGACTAATTTCTCAGTCAGCCATGCTCTGCAGTCAAGACGTCTTGACTCAGATTCAGAGTATGAGTCAAAGCAGAAATAAGGATAATAGCTGATATTAATAAGAGCAAAACAATCCATTTGTCTGCGTCAAGGTATATATGCAAGTTAGCAAAGGTAATCTATCCGAGTCCCATCACTGAATTAAGACAAATCTATTTCTGATGAGTAAGCCTTAATCAAGCAAGGAAATGTTTGAAAGAAGTGGCTCTTCTCATGTAAGTACTGTTTAATTGCATGGGGAAGCAATGGGAGGATCGGGCCTCTGACAGGAAGGGTCATAAAATATTTTCAGGGCAAAATATTCCAGAGTCCCAGAGATTATTTCCCCTTCAGTTAGCTGCTGTGCAGGTTCATGATAGAACTTGAGGGATGGCTATCACTGCCTTGCTTAGTACTCTCAAATCTGCTGTAAGTAGAGAACCAGCATTGCTGCTTTGACCTTGATGCTCGAGGTGGACCAAGTTGGGAGTGGAAGGGTCGCGAGGCTGCACTGCAGAGGAGAGGTGTTGCTGCTCCGCTGTTGTGTTTCCCTCTCCACTTGCCTCGCATCTTGCGCTCTGGCGGGCAGGGGCGAAGGGGTTGCTGGGGTGTGCGGTACCTCTTTTGCCCCCTCCTCACTGCTCCGGGAGTTCGGCAGGCAGCAGTCCTATGGAAGTGTGCCAGGAAGGGGGAACATGCATTTTTGGCTTGTTTTTTTGAGTGTCCGGGACTGGAGGAGAGGCAAGCAGCTGCTGTGACAAAACGTCCGGAAGAGCCCGTTGGCTGCAGTCACGGGCACATTTTCAGGAAAGTTCAGATATCAAAAGATTTTTGGAAGAGTACAGGGTGCCGAGTACATTTTGATGCCAGACACTGAATGAGGCTAATTTCAGTACCCAATAGCTGTTTAAAAATAAATCTGTCTCTCTCTGACCAGCCAGTAATTTTCAGAGCACCTGTAAGTGGTCTGGAGAGCCCTGTTCATCCGTCAAACAATTTCTGAAAAGCCCAGCAGTATCTGTTTTGAATTTGAGAAACTGAACTCTGGTTTTACATTAGATGTTTTGAAAAATCTTACTGCAATTACAAGAATTTTTCATGATGGGGATTTTGTACCTTCAATCTCTGTTGAAACTGTTTACCTTGACTGGTAGAACCACCTTTAAATTGGTATTTATAATACGCACCAGGCAAAACATAATTATTACACTAGATTTTAAGGATTGTGCAGATTGCTTAGATACTTATTTAAAAACAGCTAGCAAAAAGATGCAACATAAATAAATCACAAAATATGCACTCTGCTACGCAGAATATTCTTAAGCAGGAGAAGAGGTATTTCAGAAAGGAGCCAGGTTTCTATCAGTCGCTTCAACGAGCTGCTCTTCACCCACCTCTGTGCGATTTGTCTTTGGCTGTAGGCAGAAGCAGAGGCGGCCTGGCAACATCTCTCTTGCTGCCTTGGTGGAGAAACGATGGCAGAAGGAAAAAGTCTGCCAGCTTCAGGCTTTGAGCAAGCGCGTTTATACAGCAAAAGGACTTCCTCTGTTCTTGGCCTGCTTAGTGACGTAAGGAGAGGTGTATTTTAAAATACGTATACATTTCCCCCTTGCATTTCTCAGCGCAGGAATACTGCACAAACACGCAAGTCGTCAGTGCTGCTGTTGTGCCATCAGCAATACGGGAGAAAACAGGAGCTCTGAATTGCTGTGGGAAGGCAGCTGGTTGTGCGCGCGGCAGTTTGGGAGTGTTACAGGCATGAATGTGTCTGGGTAGCAGATACCCGCCTGGGCCCATACACCATGTGGAGTTGGTAACTACTTTTGCCACTCCTCCACCTCTCCATTCCATGCCCCCTCCCCCAGTAAAACTTCTTGTGCCGTAAAATACAGACGGATCTTCTACCATTGCTTAAGATGCTTCAGAGAGGAGAGGGTGGGGAAAGGGACAAACATTCAGATCATTAAAAATGCCACTTCCAGGAGCGAAGGGATTTTTATGTGCGGGAGAATCTTCAGTTTAACACACCTTTTTATTATAAGAGAAAGTTGAATTGTATTTGACTGCTGCATAATTCATTAATGCATTGGACCATTGTGAAAGTGGAACATGTTACACATGTTTTTGCAGGGTACCAGCATTTAGCAGCTGCAGAAGAGAGGCTTCTCTGTGACATGTCCTTGGTGATTTGGCACAGTTAGGCAGCACCTAAGACATTCTTATTAAACCGGCAGCAATGTTCAGTGCTTAAGAAAAACAAAAGGAGGTAGATCTTTCAATTATTACAGTGTTCCTCTCCCCCCTCCCCCCCTACACCCTCCTTTACTTTGGATCATGTCTCTAACTGCTAGGACAGCAGTGATATTTGCCTGAATTGCTTCTGGTAGCAGAGAGAGGAATCAATTAATTAGAAAGAGAAAAACCCTTCATGCATTGCCTTTTCCTGATTGTGTTAGTCCAGCTAATCCTATGCTCACAGCACATGAGTACTCAACTTGTGTATACTTTATGTTGCTGCAGTATATCTCTCTGTCCTTTCATCTCTCTCTCTCTCTCTCGTGCACTCTCTTTTTTTGGGTTACCATTCTGTCACTGATGCCGCCAGTGAGATGAAAGGCAAAAGCAAGCTATAGTGCGGAGTAATTCACATTGCTGGATTTTTCTCCCACAGAATGAACAACTGATATCTATTCAGTGACATTTTCTCATATAAAATGTTTCAGTTTTCCTCTTTGGAAAGTGTAGAACTAAATGTTTCTGCCTGTATTCCACCAAAATATTGGACAATTCTGTGAGTCCTTAGAAAATTGCTTTGTGAAAAAAACTTAAGAAATGAAAATAATTCAGATCCCAGTCAGAGAACTTGCACAGGTAGAGTTGTGGTAGATAAATGCCATGAATTTTTGATGGCATGTTTAAATATAACTAGAAGGAATGATACTTCATAGGCAGTCGTAAAATTCTTAAGTGTGATGGGGTAAACACAGTATGTGTATTCTGGGCACAAAATTACAGCAAGAGTGCTCACAGCATAAAAGAACGTTGCTTTTTGCTTCTGTGTCACAGCATGCTATTAATCATAATCGCATTGAACAACATAAATGGAGTAATATTAAATGCTAGGTACTTTTTTCCTCCATTGTAGTGTTAATGGAGAAGCTTGGGCCAAACTTGCCTTATGACTTAAGATTTTAGTGTCCCAAGCTGTGCTGAGCCGTATTGCTGGCCCCCACACTGCTCAGCCACTGCCTGCGCAGCAGCAAGTGTGGGCAGGGCAGTGCCTGGTGCCTTCCTTCAAACCAGCCCCATTACCTGAAATTGAAAATAGCTCCCAAAACACACAAAGTGTCTTTAGAGAGGAGACATTGCTTTTATTCTGCACAGGGTACGACGTGGGAGATTTCCACAAATCCAGCACTTGCACTTATAATCACATCGCGTATTTATTCAGTAAAAAATGTTAGTACCACCTATTAGCCATACCCTCCTAACTACAATTGGTTAGTTGCCTTCTCACCTTGGTTTAAAGATCTAGTACTCGTAAATTCACGAGGCATACTAGTGCCCTGGTCAGGGTCTTTGCCTGGGCTGGGGTCTCCAGCTCAGGGGGTGTGATTTTTAGTAGTGTAATGAGGGTGGCTCAAATAAAGATACATGAATTCTCAGTTCTACTGCCAAGTTTGCAGCATACATGAAGCATGCTGATTAAGTGTCCTTCTCCAGCACGTCCGTGGTTCAAGCTACCAAGTGTTTGTTCTTCTGGTTAGAGATGGTTTAATGTCCTCCACTTGTCAGCAATCTCTTGGTTTGAACAAGTCTGTAACCATCAGGTGTTGCTTATCTGGAACACTGGCTGCTACTTAGATACTTTTTCCTGAGTTAGTAACTGTCCTTAATTATAACCTTATTCTTGACTGTTAGTTTGCCTTGTTAAAATACACCAAATATCAGTCCCCAAAGTAACACCCAC